TTTTTTATATTTTTATTTATAAATTTTCGGAGTTATTTATAAAGACACCATGCGAAATTTAATTAAAAACAGAGTACTTATATCTATCTGCGCAATTATCTATCAAATTCTTTGATCTTTTTTATTAGATTCATCTTAGTTTCTACTTTCAGATAATTTTTTTATTCTTTAAAAGAATTATTTTTGAATAATACCTAAAAGATCAGAACTTATAGATTTGGAATATGGAAAAATTATTAATTTATGAAAAATCAAAAAAACAATAAGTGAAATAGTGAAATCAGTAAAATATTAAGACATCTAAATTCATAGTTGATAATATACTAAAAACACAAAAATCAATGTCAAACCACTTCAACACCATGTCCTAATAGATCTAAAATATTAAATGACCATGTAAAATATATACATGAGCAAATTGATCTATAGTTCATTAATGAAAAATTATCTAGAAAATATAAATCTCCCATTACATAGAGCAGGTTTTTGCTGACCCTAATTATATAAATTTAATTTTAAAGTTAATATGTAAATTCTCAAAAATATTAGCTAAACTTAGTAAACACAAAAGTAATCAATTTCATTCAAACGTGAATTACAGAATTTCTGTGGACCAATTTTTATAAAAAAGATATATTCTGAAAGCTTTGAATCAGCTTAATTATTGTCGATCATTTATAGACGGATACTTCGGTGTATATGATATAAAGTTATAAAATATAACAAAATTATTGAAATCATATATCGACTTGGCAGAATAATTTTTTGCGTTCAACTCTCATTATCTCGAAAATAAAGTAATTATTCTGCTAATATTATAACGATAATATATAGTAAGTTTTCGTGCCAGGCGTACCCGTGTGCCTGAATTTTCGTTAGGCACGTGCTGGGCATGTAGATTCATAATTGAGAATATTAGGTCACATTATATGAATAACATGTACTGGAAACTGCATTTACAAATAATAAGAAAAAGTAAAGATACAAATTTTTGAAATAATAAAGATTCAAGCAAAACTTGTTATTAACTGTGTTTAGCCTGTAACGGTAATTATTTGTTGACGTTAAAATTTATCGTTATGTAACTAGCTACAATCATATTTTTTGTATATCACTAAAGTCAAAGTGTATTCCTTTTTCCATTAAGTTATTTTCAATTTATTCTTTATTTCTTTTACACAATGTTTTTAACAATATACAAAACGCTAGAATATTAGAAAGCGATGATGATTTACTATATAAGTTCATAATACCGTAGGCCACTTATACAGTAACCTCGTGATTAAGACCCGAATACTTTTCATCGCCATATATAATCTATACTAATTTATTACTTTTATATCCGAATATAGCACCCGGTTCTATATAAATTGCCAATGGGTACTATTCAATTTAAAAAACGGAGTTCTTGAATAAAACACCGGGCACTGTATACAGTGGTCTACGGTAATTGCATTATCTTATGTCACGTGGATGGCTATAAAACAAGGCGGAAAATATTCTTTGTGCATGAAAGAATAAATACCATGATCACAAAAATTAAAGATATGAATAAATTCTTCAAAGCATAAACTATATCTAATCAATTCCTTCGCGCTAATAACTGACTATGCAATCTTGTTTTAGTTTAATTTTAACAGAGGTGTAAGAAAGATCTAGAAAGTATTTTAACCTAGCGGTAAAACACAGAAAGCCCTCAAGGAGAAAAGCATACAAATCTGACATAAATAATTATACATGACCTATAACGTCAAGAGTATAATTCGAGCTGCTTTAGAAAGAATTAGAAGTTTATATATGAACCTTTATTAACTTTAATAAAATAGCTTCGCGATTCCTTCGGAAGAATACAGCAAAACCGGTATGTGAATGTGTGGAATTCGCGACCTAGCATACATAAAAACTATATTTACAATGTAATACGTCAGCCTCGCGCTGTGCACACATTACAAGAAGGACCGGAATCCTGGGTACAAAAACAATTCCTCGGGCAATTAAACCAGCTAAGCACTGCATTTGTTAAATGTTACATCGGAATTCGAAGCCTATAACTAACGAATTGTTTTGCAAGATGACGACCAAATTCATAATGAATAGTCTTATGCCATGAAAACGAATTGAAAAGAAATATAATTAGACCCTCATCATATACCGGACCAAAAGCTAACCCATAAGGTGATATCCTATCTGTCAAAAAATTCGCGGCATTACTAGGAACAAAAACCTAATTTGTTACGAAAGATTAGAATAAGAAGCGTACATTTATTGCAATAATGAAGAAACTCTGAGCAAACATTTCATATTGACTTAACAACAGAAATAAGAAACGAGGAATCAGAACCACACTCGATTATCACACGTTATTAGAGAATTGCAGAAGCAGAATAGACAACCGATTGAAGAAAATAACCGACTATTAAGAACAAACAGAAAACAAAGAAACAGACAAACTCATAAGAGAAATGAGAGAATATTGAATGATCTTAAATTTATAGCGAAAAGAACACTCGCGTTCGAAAAACTCGGAAGAGAATTCAAAACAGTCGTGGAAAAGCATCAGATGATAATGAATGAATCCGGACGAAATTCGAAATAGAATCATTAGAATTAATCTCGATAAACAACTGATGAAGAAAAACTGAAAACAGCGTATCGACCATAAAAAACTTGACAAAGTTCTCAAAAAATAGAAAAATGTTAAGGGGAACACATCAGGAATTATAAATACACAACCGCAAAACCATTACAGACAATAAAACGAAATCCAAACGCAATACTTTTGAGCGCCACTGTATCTTTTGAATATACTGTATCATATCAGTCCTGTTTTATATACAATGCAGTATGCATTTAAAAGTTTGTAAATTACTGCCGATTTAATAATAAAAGATTTTGTCGGTTCTATTCAAAGGTATATCAACACAAACTCTTATCTTATAAATACGTGCAAACCCATCAAACTTAATATTGTATATCTCCAAAAATTAGCTACTCTCGAAAATAAATTAATCCACTATGTTGGGATTAGAACGGGGTATTATATACTGTGTATAGAAAATTCCACGTGCAAAGTCCCAATTAGATAAATATTAAGTCTAAATTAAAATAAAAAGTGAATAATATCCAGGTCTAATGCTACGGAGGGTATTATTTTGAGGGATACTATATACAGTGCTAAACAGCACAGTGCTTAAGTATCAACATATATATGTGATTCCGACTATTATGTAGTATTCATTGTGTGCTGAAAAGCTCAAATAAATTAGGCAGATTCGTAGATTCACAATTGTGCAATATTTTTGAGCTTTTCGGTACCAGAAGTGAGCTTCTAGTTATGAGTAAGTTAACTTTTAACAATCTATACTAATAACGGTTGACCTACCTCTTCAATGTGCCGACTCAAGAGTACATACAAAATCATTTGCAAGCTGCAAAATTGTTTTAGACTCTAAATCCCTACTTGAATTTTCATTCCTATTCGCTAAGAAGTGTTCGCTTTTCTTTGGATCAAATTTTTTCACGTTTTGATTTATAGAAAAATGTGATTCAATGATCAAAAAAGTGACCATTAGGACTCAAAGTTTGTTAGCTGGATGATGCTTATGTGAATTGTAAATCTATCAACATCGAAATGCATAGAATCTGATTTATAGTTATGACGGATCTTTGTATACTGAATTATAAATAAATCGATATTTTAACAAATTTTTGCTTATAAAAACAATTTAGGTAAGTGACTTAAAATATGATTTCTTGATGGGGTCGAATATAGAGTAATCCCCGGTATATGTGAAGACACTGATATTTATTGGATAATTACTGTTTTGATAGAAGTGCCTCTTCCAGGAAAGATAATACAACACAGTAAAAGGGTTACATTTACACTTCTTAAATCAAGCGCTACCATTCCCAAAATATTAACCACTAAATGTCACTGCTCTTACAATTAATCAATGATATTATTCACCGTGCGTTAAATAATTTTACGCTGCGCGCTGCAGTTGATGCATGGTGCAATGGGAATGTCTATCATTGGTTTGATTTCAAACCATGGTGCAGGTGATATAAGAAAGATTCCTAATAGCAATCGGCATCACTATAATTAAAAAAATAGACGTTAATTTTTTTTTAGTAATATTTTATGCCTCATCATTATATCACCTGCACCATTTTTTGATAATCAAACCAATGATAGACAACACAAATCGTGCACCAATACATAGTGAGACGCTTCCAAATCACACGAGTGTCATGCAATGTAACTGATGATTTTTATCATGGAAACAAGCATTCAAAAATACGTATCAAATTTTACGTACTATTAATAGAAAGGTTATTAATAGAAAAGAAATTCTGAATTAGCTAATTTTAATTGAAAAAAAGCGAAAAATGAAGTTAAAATTAAAAAAACACCAAATGTCCGTGATTAGTGTACAAGTGGATTAATGAAACAAAAATTTTATCTTCAAATTCTTATATAGGATTTTATTCACAGAATTACAGAGAAGCTCCCCAAATGCAATCTCTGTAAACGCAAACACTATATAAACTCTCGCCGAGATACGACTTGGTCCCAGGCTTATAAGATCTTTAATTATTTTACTCCCAATAAATGCAAACTCTGTCTTGCTTTAATGTGACTCTCAGCGAGCTATATTTAGATAGGTTACTCTGTACTTCCCATCTTTCAGGGGAAGTGCAATAATACAATGCGTATTAAATGTAATGACTTTCGCAAGGAAAATTAGAAATTTAATTAAATACATAATTAAAATATTACTGCATGTGAATACTATTCTTTTGCTTGTTTGGCGTGCAAATTCTTTGTCATTCTAAGTCTTTAATAAATAAAATTGTATTGAGCGATTGGATAGCATATTCGTTACAAAAAATCTTAGCGTTATGTCCATTATTGGAATAAAGATTACATAAATGTTAACATACTACATGTACATGTATAACTGCTTGATTATGAGTCATAATTAAATAAGCTTAAAAAATCATAAATCTGAAAGGCTTTTACTGAAAATTAATGCTTATTTGTGAGAATAATGTTCTTATTGTAATTTGAATTTGAAATTTCAAAATTCATTTTATTAAGTTTTCAATTTCTAAAATAGATGTACGATTCGTGATCCATTAAATTTAACAAGAGATCTGAAGGAGGGAAGACATTATATGAATTTTGAAAAGTCAAATTTGTGGATTCATAAATATCTTCTTCATAAGAGAAAGGATATTGTCGTGGATCAAAAATTTCGGAAACATTGGGTTCGTTCGAATTCTGGTTTTCTATTGGTCCTAATGATGTAGTGATATTGGTGATGGTGGGGATGATGGTATTTTGTGATGTCCCACTTATTGAAACGCTTTGATTAAATTTATTGACATTAATGTTAATAGAATCAACATCAGAAGCATCGAATTTAAGGTGATCATTATCATGGAAACATTGATTCATGGGAGTTGTCGGCTCTGAAACACCAGACATATCGAATTCAGAAGCTTCGAATTCAAAATGATTATTCTCATGAAAGTGTTGATTAATAGGAGTTGTCGGTTTCGAGACACCAGTTGTATCGGATTCAGAAGCGTCGAATTGAAAATGATCATTTTCAGGAAAACATTGATTCATGGGAGTTGTCGGCTCTGAAACACCAGAAAAATCAGTAAACTGGATAACGTCCTCTATTCCTTTTGAAGCGCGTCGAAAATCTTTTTTTGTTCTTACTGAATTTTGCGAAGAAAAATTTGCAGGTGTAAGGATTCGTGGTGTTTCTTTATCTTGGAGAATCTTTGCAATGTCTTCTGAAATTTCTCGATATTCTTGTTTTACTATATCTGGCTTATTCTTCCATTTCTCGGATGCGATTGGCGAAATTTCTTTTGCAGGAAGATAATAACCGTGGTTATTAAATTCACGTACCAATGCTTTTCGATAAAGTAGAAAACAATTTGGCGGTTTTCCTGTAATTTTTCGCTCCTTATAGCTGGCAATCACAGCGTTTAATTGGTCACTAATCGGAAATGGAACATCAATCTGGCCAAGGGACAGACGTTGGCACTTTGGTTTTTTGATTTTTTTAGTAACATTAATAGTTTGATTAGAATTAATGACTGTCATAGTTTTGGATGATTAAATGATACTATTTCATAAGAAGTGAATGTTGCTATTAAATAGCTAGAAAACCAGAATTGCACGATTTCAAAAACGGCAATTTTTGGTCGTGTATTTATAAACTAACTCTCTTTGGGAAAAAAATATTTGTGCGAAGCAAATATTTTCTTCCTGATTATTTTTGGCCTTCAAAGAAATTTAACGGCTATAAATGTGATAGATGGTGGCGTTGCGGTCGTGTAAAAATTTGCACTCACTGTGTGAGCGAGTGCGTTCATTCATATTTCACCAATCGTAATATGGCGATATTTTTGATCATAATAAAATCATATATACACTTTTAAGTATGAAGAACATTGGTCTCTCATACGGTAGTTGCAAAACTTGTCGCATGAACTTGAGATGCATATTGCATTAATATACGTACACTTCTAAATTAAAAATACATGTTTAGAGATAGAGATAAACTTTGAATTCTGCGCTTGTACAACTACATGGAAGGCTACGACAATGACTAAACAAGAAAATCGCGTCAGCGTATTTCATTGTATGCTCGATTTGACAATTCTGTGCTCTCAAAAAATCTTCACTTTGTGTGTAATGCAATTAATTTGATGCATTTTATTGTTTTGTACTTTTGATAGACTTGTAGCAAAATGAATGACTTGGTTTACGAAATATTTTATATTTTGTCTTTTGTGGTATATAATAGAATAAATGATCATATCTTTTGTCAAAACTCCGGTTTTGCATTCAACTGCCGGATCAACTACCAATTAAAAATTTGATTCATTCAAAAGATTAATAATATCAATTTAATGTTAGCGAACATCAACCTAAAATTTATATACGCCTTTTGGTAACGGCCGAAATCGAAACAATTTTCATGTTTTTTAAATAGAATTTTTCCTCTATCTAATTAATCTTGCAGGATTCTTTGTGAACTTTGATAACGATCTTAGTCACTCAAATAATGACTTTGCAGATCAATGGCTTGGCGGATCTACTTTAGTTATCGATTTTCCAAGAATCTTTCTAAATAGCATCTCCTGAAAATCTAACGCAATTGGAATAATTCGCATCGAATGTAAAAATAATATCAATATCAATCAATAGCATGAACAGTAAAATGAAAAATTTTGCTCTATAGAAATTCTAATAAAGTATAAATCTACGGTGCAACTATGTTTCATGATACAACCGTGCAGTATAAAAAACGGGTATGCAGCGTAACGGTAACAAAAGTTGAAAAAAAGATAAAATAGGCGGATGTGTGATACAAATAAACAAATGGCTTATACACAAGAAATCGGCTTTACAATAGTGGCTTGAGCTTGCGAATTATTGTAACAAAACCTTAGATTACTAAAAAGCGGAGTGAAATCCTTTAGCCAATAGCATAGATGTAAATGATAATGTATGTTAATAAAATTTGACAAACAAATATATTAAGATATGTGCTTAATAAATTTATAAAAAAAAATATGCTTTGCGCTTGTTTATTCAATTTACCTTGCAGAAACTTCTATATAAAAAAGATACCAAAATAGAAAATCATTATGCGTATGCAAAAATAAGCTTTATGCTACTTTAGGCATTAAAGGATGATTCTTTTACGTACGTTTAGTGTTATATTTAATTTGTTGTAAACAGATCCATTGCATTCAGAAATTTCTAAATTAGCAGTATAATGGATCACAATTTTTGTTTATTAAAAAAACGTTGTTGTTATACTGCTTAATATTATTTTTATTACTAAATTTATTATTCTCGTTGATTAAGGATGAGATGAATACTGCACACGTGTGATAACGTCAAAGGCTTGAGAAAAGCGATATTTTGAATAAAATTTCTCATTAATATATATATATATATATTAATATTATATTAAAATTTCCGTAAATTTATGCTTCAAATTTCGAGTGAAATTGAGATTAGGAGATTATAGTTCAAAGATTCGAAAAATAATGATACAAAAACTTCAAGTTTCTTAATAATCGGTCTGTTCTCCAACATTTTTCAGTAATAAATTCACAATATCCGGGAATTTTATTTGATATTCTATAACAATTTAATATTGTTCAAAAACAAACTAGGTTTTTACCTGTCTCGGAAGATAATATCTGATTTCATTACAATCTTCCTTTCTAATTATCAATTATCATTTGTCATTCAAATACCCTTGGACAAAAGAAGAAGAAAAGAGAATTAAATGAATCTGCATCTCATTAATTAATCGCGATAACACAATGTGACTTTCATTTACAAAAAAGATTATGTATTCCGCATGAGTGGATGCAATATCGATATAATAAAGCGAAAAGAAAAATTTCGCGAGAAAAATATTGCAACACAAAAAACAATGACGTGTTACCACATGTTAGTTTATTTTTATCAATAATACAAAAGTTTATTTATTTAATGTGTACTGCATATATTATTATTTTTTTTATTATTAGAGTGCATTGTCTCCATCGGCCGGTTTTTCCATCATAAAAATAGAAAACTTGATTGTTCTTTGAGTAACTTGATTAAACACAAATTTAACCTAAAAAGGGAAAGATGGCGTAGATCTAATTATCAAAACGAAAATGAAATAGAATTATATGCTTAATTCCAATGAAATTTTTAATATTAGGATACATCAATCTCGGATTTTCATTCGTTATCAATTGTATGACAAGTTCATGTAAACGTGGTGGCGTATTTTATGCAAGCTTTACATTTATGTGCATGGGAAAATAAGGTCGTGCAACAATCGTAGCCGATTCAGCCCAGAAAGGCCGACTTTTGTTCGGATTTATTTACGGCGGCGCCATGTGGATAACACTCGATTATTCAAATAATTTTTATGATTTTTACAATAGGATCGACACTTCGGATGATCGAATAATAATGTACGACTTAAAAAAACTATAAATAACAACGATTTGACTGTCAAACAAAAAAAACGCAAAGATTAAAGAGATAAAATAAACCGCAGATTAAAGATAAAAACCACAGATTAAAAACATAAAGTATTTTTACTCAAAAATGCCAATCGTAAATAATAACTCCGCTGAAGCTAATATCTTTAACATCTCTACGATGTCTAACATCAATAAAATTGACAACAATGGTAATAATAGCAACAATGATCCAATTAAAGATGAACGCTTGCCCCTTGATAAAATCGATGTCCCATTTCCTTTAACAGACCAATTGACCGCAATAATTGCAAGTTATAAAGAGCGTACTATCTCCGGAAAACCGCCAAATGGTTTTATACTCTATCGAAAAGCATTGGTACGAGAATTAAATGCTCATGGCTATTATCTACCTGCAAAAGACATTTCTCCATTAGCATCGGAGAAATGGAAGAACAAACCTGAAATTGTAAAAGAAGAATACCGCCAAATTTCATCTAATATCGGAAAAATTTTCCAGAAATCCGAACAACCGGTGATTCTTACACCGGAAAATTTTTGCGCTCAGTCAACAATTAAAACAATTAGAAAAAATGTTCGTAGCGAAGCTGCGACGAGCAACTTCATCAAAAATAAATTTGTTTCAAAAATTGATACAAGTATTCCTACAGAACTTTTTGATGGCTCACAAAAATCTGATTCTGAGCCAGTTACGCCTTTGACTCCATGTTTCAACAACGAAAATATTGAAATTAAAAACTTAGAATTTGAAAGTTTATATTCTGATGAGAACTATATGTTCACCTCACAATTTGAGCATATACCCGAGTACAACCTGTCTTCAGTGAAACAACGAACAATTCACGATGAAACTTGCATAGATAATTTTGATTATTTAAGAAACGGTGATGTTACTCTTGGAACTGCATCAATTTTAGAACCTATAACAAATTATTTTCTGGAATCGTACAACAGCTATTCTCTACCAATAAATGAATCTTCTGCAGATCATTTGCTTTCGTTAATGGATCGTGAATCGGAAGTGTACTTTGAAAAATCAAATTTCCCGGTATCTAATTGGACTGCACTCGTCCCTGAAATAGAAACAGAATGCTTTAACAATTATCTTAATACATGCACAGACAATTTCATTCCTCTCATATGAGAACATTTTAAAGTCAAAATTTAAAAACTTCACCATTTTAGAATATTTCATCCAATACTAAAAATTTAACTATTCATCAATTTTCAAGCTTTAAAATAAGAATAAGGATTTTTATAGATATTCTATGCATATGTAAAATTTATATATAGTTTGTAAATTTCTATTCTTCCTAAAAATATTTTATATACATTCAAATCCTACTTTTCTAAAGCAATCATTAGTCTAAGATTAATAAGCGACTTGATATAAAAACTTTTTTAATTTGTAAATTTTAAAAATATTTAACTTGTAAATTTTAATAACTTTTTCTTTAAAACAAAATCAAAAAATAAAAACACAATTTAATTAAAAATTTATAATCTGCTTTTGGTTGATAACGATATAAGCATTGAACGATAGTATGGTTCGTACCATGTTACAAATTGGACGGGCGGTCTTGCATAGCGTATGATTAAATAAAATAGGAGCGAATCTCTTTTGAACCGTAATGTTCATGCATTATCCAAGAACTAAATATTGTTCCTTATCTGCATTATTTAATATTTACATATCTAGCGAATAAAAGAAAACAATTATAAATCTAAAAGATTATGTGACATAATACTTGATTGGAAAGTTGTGAAGATGCAACTAAACAGTCCAGGACTTCTAACGTAAGATTTGCTGATATCTTAAACCGGACAGACTGACATTACTTTAACCTCAAATATCACACTTGTTTACAATATCTTTTCTGAAAAATTCATGAAATGTACATAGATCCAACAGCCTAAAATAACAGACTTAGAACCATCGTGTCTTTATCATAACAACAAAAAGAAATGATCAGCATTTACGTTGCTTTATCTTGTATTGTTCAAACTGCTTCTGTGATATAGATAATAGGTTTTCATACAAGTATACTTGAACAAAATCAAAGTTGATATCAACTAGAATAAAATTTTAACTATAATAACTATATCTGGTGTTTTATACAAGAATTTTGCAATATTTTTATTAGAATAAAAGGTAGTTTCATAGTTAATTATTCAATTATAAATACAAGAGTAACATTTTTTTATTTATTTCATAAATTTTTTAATATTTTATACTTCTTATTATAAAGAAAATACAAATAGAACTTAGTATAAATAGATTAATTTTTTCATTTATTAATTCAAATAATTTGAATTTAAATTTTAGAATAATATATAAATATAATATATATTATATTCAGATACTTCTTTAATATTGTTTTATTTCTTGATTTTTTATTTTTGTATATTATAAAAATTTTATATAAATAGATTAATTTTTTTATTTATTAATTCAAATAATTTGAATTTAAATTTTAGAATAATATATAAATATAATATATATTATATTCAGATATTTCTTTAATATTAGATTTTTATTTTTATTTCTTGATTTTTTATATATTATAAATATTTTATATAAAATATTTAAAGTTTGATTTTTTGTATTTTAATAATTAATATTTTAATTATATTTTTATTTATTTTATAATATTTTCTTTATTTTATTTTGAAAGTTAATATTTCTTGATAAAGAACTTATTATTATTATATTCTTTCAGAAATAAGTATCATTCATAAATAAGCATCATCTTATAGTTAGACTTAAAAATAAAAATATTATAAATAAGTATCATTAAGAATAAGTACCATCTTTATTTTAATATAATTAAAAAATTAAAATTATATATAAATAAATTAATTAATAATATAATTAATAGTAAAATATATTATTATTTATTATTCCAAATCACTAACTTATTTAACTCAACTACTAATTTATTATCTGATTTTATAACTTCTTTATCTTTATTATTTTCTAATTTTTCTAGCTTATTTTTTCACTATTTCAAATAAAATCATCTTTATTATAGATTAGTACAAAAAGATTTATATCTTAATATAAAAATTAAAAATTATTTCTAATAAAAATTATTCAAATTTTAATTAATTCTTATAATTTTTTATATTAAATAAAAAATAATCTAAATTAACATTTTATACTATTTTAACTATCTTATTATACTTTAATTCAATAATAAATAAAGTATTACTTTACTAAAAAAAATTAAAATAAAATTATTTTTTTTTAAAAAAAAGATATTTTAAATATTATTACTATTAATTTGTAATATTAGAACTTTAATTTATACAAATAGATTGTGTTAAATTTTATAAAAATTGAATTAGTAATATAAAGATATTAAGATTCAAAGTTAAGTAACTAAATTATTTACTATATAATTTTTATTTTAATTTTAATAAATTTTATATAGTAAAATTTAAGAAAAAATAATTAAAAAAAGTTATTATTAGTAAAAATTTTTTATAAAAGATATATAACAAAAATTTTTATATTTAAATAAATTCTAATATTTAATAATTTAATTAAATAAAATATAATTAAATTTTATTTTAAAAAAATAATTTATTAATATTTATCTGAGATATAAATCTTTTTGTACTAATTTATATCTTTTAATATATTTAAAATTTAATATTTTTTAAATATATTTTTAATTATAATATTTAGAATTTTATTTTAAATCTTTATTATATATTTACAAATTATATTATCTTTAGATTTTTCAAGATTTTTCTTTTTATAAAGTTATATTATCTTATATATTTATTTATTTTATTTATATTATAATTAATCTTTAAAAAACTTATTTAAAATTATCTAAAAATTTAAAAATATCTAAAAAAATAAATAATTAAGATAAAATTTTTAAAAAATTTATATTTTTAGCCTTATCAAATTACTTAACTTATTTTATTTTATTTATTTTAAAACTATTCAAAATTAATAAAGCTCTTGACTTTTTCTATTTAATTATTTTTATTATATTTTTTCAAATTATTTTTTTATTCTAACTTTATTTATCTATCTTTTTAGATATATTAAAATAATAATTTTATTTAAAATATTTTTCAATATTCATTTTTTTCTTGAAAATAACAAATAATAGAAGCTTTAAATTATCTATAAGAATAAAAAATATATATATAAATCAGTTTTTTTATTTCTAATAATTAAATTTAAATAGTTTTTATTTTTTTATATTAATAATATTAATTTTTATTATATTAAAATAAATGAATATTTAATTTATATTATTAATTATTAATAAAATATATTAATTAATAATATTAATTAATAATAAATTTTTAAAATAATATAATTTTTTTATTAAATTATTTAAATAGCTTATAATTAAATTTTATTTTTTGATATAAGATAAGATTAAAATAGTATAAAATTATATTTTAAATATAAGAAATTTGTTTTTTATATCAAAATAAGTTTAATAAAAATATTTATTAATAATAATTTTATTTAATTTTTTATTATATTAGATATTATAATAAGTTTATTTATTTAAAAATCAGAAATTCATTTTATAAATACTTTTTCAAAAGCTAAATATATTATTTTAGTATCTGAATTAATATAATAATTTTTTAAAGATATTTTGAAATTTAAATTCTTTATAAATTTATTATAAAATCATAGAATAATTAATAAAAAATATTATTTAATATTATATATTTCATAATATTTAGTATAATCAATAATTTTAGTTTTAAATATTATTTTTTATTATAGAATTTATATTAAAATAAATAATTTTAAATACTTAATTAATTTTTATAAGTAAAAATAAAAATAATATTTTATTTTATAAATAAAAAAGTGAATTTTTTTTAATTAAATAATTAAATATTTATAGATATTATAATTTTTTATACTTAATCAGAATAATAAATTATTTTATAAAAGTTTTTTTCAAGTAATTAATTAATTAATTATATATATTTATTTTATAAATAAAATAATAAGATTTTTTTAATAATAAATTAATTATTTATAAAATATTATATAATATTTAATATATATTAAAAATTTAAAGATATATAAAAAATTTTTTATTAATTAATAAATTTATAAATATTATTACCATAATAATATAAAATCTCTTAATTTCTTAATCTTTTTTTAGTTATGAAAAATTATATTTTATTATAATTTTTATTTATTTTATAAATATTTCTATTTTTATATCATTTATTATTATATTTATTATCACATTTCTATTTTTAAATATTATATTCTATTTAATATTTGGAATTTATATTTTTATTATCTTATAATATGATATTTATGTATATAATAGAATAGTATAGTGAAAGATCATTTTTAATTTTGATGAAATAATTATATTTGGATGATGATCTCAAATATCTTTTCTCATTCTTTGATATCTTTTAACATTCTCTTATATTCTTTCATATCTTTTCATATCTTTTCATATCTTTTTATATCTTTCAATATCTTTTCACATTTTTCAATATTCTTTTACGTACTTTGATATTTTTCAATATTCTTTGATATCTTTTAATATACTTTGATATAGTCTATTCATAATTATTTATATTATAGTATTTTAATTATATCTTATATATTAAATAATATTAGCTAGTAATACTATAATAATTTATGTATCTGAAAAATATATAAAA